ATTATCTCAGGAGATTCATCGAAACCAAGTTTCTCTTAGTATCTACAAATAAAATGGTCTGTGGGGTAAAGATGCGTATAGATATCCTATTCACTTATAACTCTAACTTATTTTCTAATAATTCATTTTGGCTGAAAGTATAGACTATGAAATCGATTATAATAGAAAGCCTGTATTTTGTAGTCATAAATTATAAGGACAAGGAAATAAGCAGGTTGAGAGCCATATCAATTTAAAACTATTATCCACCAGGATTAATAGCTAATTAACCTTCAATGCAGATAAATAGCTTTGGGGAAATTGCTCTCCTCGGTTCCTGATCTTGTCGTTGCATCAGCTGGCAACAAGTTTGGTAAATTAATGAGCAAGTGAAGCAACAAATAGACTCTTTCCTTAGTTGTGCATTCTATATTGAGAATTTATGCCAGTCTCCAGCAGAAACGGAATCAATTAACTTTATCCCACTGCAAGCATGTAGAGCAAGCATTATGCCACCAACCGAGTCATGGTTGGTTGATTGCTAAATTATGAGTAGGCTTGCAACCAGCCCCTTTGGTCAGGTCCTAATGATTGATGTTTTTGCTCAACAAAAGTAAATCCTCGGAAAAGAAGGCATTACTGAAGAAATTGTTTATTTCTTGACATTATTCTGATATCCCAAATACTCAGTAGTTTAGCTAACTTTTTGGCAATAGTTTACTTATCATTACTCTTTTTCACAGCCGATGGAGGGGTTGGAGATTATAAAGTCCCATATTTGAAGATATGAAGACCAAGCCGTTGTGGCCTCTGGTATGGTCGCAGTCTCCTTTCGATTTTTAGAAGTGGGTTGACATCGTTGTCGCAACTTGGTCTTGTTGTCAGGGCGACTTAGTAGAACGCACCTGGTACGAAGTCGTCTGCCACTTATCTCTTTGACGAGTTCGTAGCTTAGTGCGGAGACTGGCAGCACTCACTGATGATGCCGGCGAAACGTTTGAGAATGTACCAATCATGACAACTTCTAGGGCTGATGGCTTCGGACTAGGTGTGTTCTACTAAGTCGGCCTGACAACAAGACCAATCTGCGACAACGAGGACAACCCATTTCCTAATGATTTAGGTTATTGCCTAGCAGAAGTAAATCGTCGGAAAAGAAGGCATAACTGAAGGAAGTGTTTATTTCTTTACACTGTTCGGATGTTCCACTTGCTCAGCTGTTTAGCTAACTTTTTGGCAAGCTGAAATAATGCTAAGATAGCGAAGGGAGTAACATGGTCTTGCTGCGTAGGCCTTATTCTTTAAATTCTTATTAAAAATTGATCATCCATTAATCTTAATAGATAATAGTTGTACATGAATATGCCCCCCAATCTATCAATTTCCGGGTCTAAGTGAGTTACGTCTGTTGGAAGCGAATTCTTTACTTTTAACGAATTCATATTTTATACCTTGACCCCACATGTACGATTAGAGAAGACTTTAATGAGGCTTTCCTACACATAACTCCTCCCAATTTTTTGCCAGCTTTGCCCTCTAACCAAGCTGAAAACGGTACTTTGTCCTTCCTTTCTCTTGTTCTACTGTATTTGGTGCACTTTTCGCTAATACATGCTCTCTCCCTATGACGATGCCTGTCACACGATGGTCGAAAGATTGGCATAGATTCGTCAAAGTCGTTGGACGGTGAGCCTAGGTCTTCTTGGCATAAGGCAATTCTAATTCGCCCTTTGGTGAGGCAAATTCACTTATTTCTCCCAACACATGCTATAAGACAAAAAATCGAGTCCCACTAAATGTAGGCGAGGGTCGTTCGGCTGTCAAGTCTAGAGGTTTTATAAGATGACATTTATTTGTCGTCACTTCCCATGCTCGAGTGATTGAGTATAGACTGAACACTTGATGCAACTTCACAAGGTGTCTTTCTCCGTCGAATAAACGTCGCATAAAATTTAGCCGCGGCTCAAACGGGATTCGAACCATGGCTGTTTATTGGGAGCAAAGTGTATGACATATGCAGGAAAAAGTCGCTATGAGACATGCTACCGGAACGGGGCCTAGTGTGCCTCGAAAGGGAAAGAAGAAGGTCCTCTGGGTCTGTCGCCTGCTTTGCTCAGTTCCAATCCAACTTGAGCGAAGATGCGGCCGAGGCGAGGCTGAAGCTGCAGTCAAGTCCGGCTGGGAACTACTCTCAGAAATGTCTCATGCAATTCCAAATCAAGCCGTCGCCTGGACTCTACGTGGACACATAATGGCCACATTCTGCTGCAACGCGAGCGATAAGGAACCAGACAGAAGGACTCGCCTTGAATTGCTGTGAAAGTGACCCTTTTGCAGGTTCGACAGTGGCACATGGAGCGAACAGAATCGGTCTCGGAGATATGCATAAAAACTGGGTTTCGTTCGACAGCCACCAAGAGCCGGATTGCCGGAGAGGAGAACCGGATTCGACTGGTTGGCCCCTTGCACGGAAAGCCATTCAGTCCGCGGCGACGTTCACTTCTTTCAGCCTCCTTCTCATCTGCAAAGTGTCGTGAGCAATGGCAAGGGTATAGGATACGCAGTCACTGCCTTTGATAATGCTGGTAAAGTGCAATTCGTCCAATTGACGCCTAGAAAGTACTTCTCCTGCTCAGAGGTACGGGATCGAGTCTTGCAGTAGCCTAAGCCGGTTACTGCTGGCAACCCTGTCGGAAAAAGCACTGTTGAGAGAGCACAATTTAAGATTTGAAGATCAAGATGTTGTGGCCTCTGGTATGGTCGCAGTCTTCTTTCGATTTATAGAAGTAGGTTGACCTCGTTGTCGCAACTTGGTCTTGTTGTCATGGCGACTATGCAGAACGCACCCAGTCCGAAGTCGTCTTCCACAGTAGTTGTCATGATTCCCAGCATCTGACAGGGGACTTGACGTTTGAGAATGTATCAAGTCCACTGTCAGATGCTGAGGATCATGAAAACTACTATGGCAGACGACTTCGGACTAGGTGCGTTCTGCATAGTCGCCATGACAACAAGACCAAGTTGCGACAACGAGGTCAACCCACTTCTATAAGCAGAATTTACTTGGTGCAGAGCAATTCGGAAGGCCTGGACTCTAACCACTTGCTGACATCACTGCCAGGCTGCTCTGGATTCCTCTATTTTGAACTCTTATGATACTTGCCTTGTTTCTGTATGTCCACACATGCATGCACACAAACATACATGCAAAGTTACACACACACATATATACAAATATATGTAAATTCAGTGGAAACGTAATGTCTACTCAGATTATCATGAGAAAATGCCACTACTAGTCACTATATCGTCTTAAATCAAATTTGGTGAATACATCTCATCTACATGATTTATTGGTGGTCACAAAAACCTATTTGTACACTGAAAATAAGAAATGTACTCGATTGCTATAACAAATATAACTTTGTAATGAGATGTATTCACCATATTTCGTGTAAGGTGATAAAGGACTGGTAGTAGAATTTTCCCACAATG